ACACACACACACACACTGTGAAAATAAAACTGATTTGAGTTTACTCTTGAATGTACAGACAGTTGTAACTGACCTCAGGTCAGCGGGAAGCTTGTTCCAAAGACGACAGTAATGTCAGCACCCTCAGGACTCTTAATGGTGAATTCCCTTTCAGTAATGTGTATGTAAGGACTGGCTGCTGCATTCTGAACATGCTGAAGTCTTCCTACTCAGGATATGGTTAGTCTTGCCAATTTAATGGATTAAATTCTTTTATAAATGCAAGTGTTAACTAGCTACTGCTAACAATACTCCAGTGTCAAACCACACTTCTGCAGCAGTGTAATATAAAGAGCCTTGGATATTAGCAAATTTATTGCTGATGTAGCTCCTTTGAATTAAGGAGATTGGCATCAGCCACAATGTTTCATTTTCACTTATTAACTTATTGTTTCACAATGTTTGCTGCCAGTGATATATGCAGGAACACACATCACATATATGATATAGTAGAGTCTGTGGGGGACTAAATTATGTAAAATTCCTACATTGTATTGATGTCACACCAGAAATGTTCTTTTTAAGATCTGAATTACATGGAAACACAACAGAATGGTCAGAACAGAAGATTGGTACTGTGGTCATAAAGGGATGGACATGGTCAGCAACAGTAATTAGTTAATCTGTGGTGACTAAATGATGTTCGGCAGTAATAAGGGTCTCAAAGTGTGCTAAGAAATTATCTCCCACTAAACTAGCAGTAACAGCTTGAACTGTTCATACAAGGAAACATTGATCCATGTTGTTATATCATTAACACCAAATTCTGACTCTGCCATCTGAATGTTGCAGAAATAGAGACTCAGCCTTCCATTGTCTAATTTTAGTGGACATGTGTGAATTATAGACTCAGTGTCCTGTTTTTCACAGACAGGATTGATACCCGGTGTGGTCTTCTGCTGCTGTAGTCCTTCTGGCTCGATGAGCTGTGTGTTCATAGTTCTACTGCATTAGATATTTGAGTTAATGAACAGCTGAACAGTAGCCCAGTGAGTGTTTGTATCTCTCTCACTCACTTAAATCACTTTTCTTCCACATTCTGATGCTCACTTTGAACTTCGGGAGGTCACCTTGACCAGATCTACAAGGTTTAAATGTAGATATTCAGTTCAATTCCATCTAATTGCTGCCGTGTGCTTAGCTGGTTAGTTATGAGCAATAATGCGCAGTCGAGTGGTGTACCTAATAATGTGGCCACTGAATATATTTCTTCCTCACACTCTGTAGCCTACCAGTGATTAAACACCAAATACTCTAAAATATTCAGCTTATGGTGATTTTTCAGAAAGTAAGAATAGTTTTGCTCACATTTTTCGAAATCCTCCAAGTTTGTAAAATTAAATATGAAGATAAATCTTCAGGAAACATCTCGTATATAAATGTATCTAACTGTAATAAAAGCCAGATAACT